CAGAATTATTTACCAAAATACCATTTTTTTCAAAAATAATTTAGAAAATCATTTTTAGCTATATTAGAAGGTGAAAAACAGATATAATAAAAATATTGTTGAGTTATTCAAAGTATTATTTTTTGGTATTAAATTTTCAGATAAGTATTGAAATATAAATTAATAAGTTTTTCAATAAAGATATAATAATCATTTATAAAGAGAGTTTTGATTAAGAGTTATAAAATATAAATTTTTACAAAGAGATTATAAAAAGAAAATTTATTTTTGATAATTTGATCCCAATAAAATAAAAAAATCAAATAATAATAAAAGAAAAAGAGAGAAATTGATAGTTTAAGAATTTACAGAGGAAGCACTAAAATATATTACAGTTACTTTAAATAAAGAGTTTTCTTTACTTTTGATAAGAGAATTATATGAATTAGAAAAGAAAATAAATTAATAAAATTGATTAATACAAAAATAATATCTAAATTTGTACTAATTTTAATAGAAATTGTTAAAGAATTTTATTAAAAAATAAAAAGAGAGATTAAAAAAGTGTATTTAAAGAAATAATTAACTAATAAAGATTACTAACTAAATATAAAAATATTAATATTTCTATACTTGTAATTGTATATTCTAGTGCTTTTAATACTAAAAAAATAAATTACTAAAAAAAATATTATTTATTTAAAATTATAGTGACATTCAATATTACTTATTTAAAGTTGTAATACATAACTATACAATTTAATATTATTTATTTAAAGTTATAGTATATAACTATACAAAAATAATGCTATAATAAATTAATATATTTATCCAAAAAATACTTTAACTGTCTTCTTCAAATTTAAAAACAAAAATATAATAGTTAAAAATTCAATTTTATATAAATCAATATTTAGTTTCTTAATTTTGCTCAAAATTTATGAAAAGTAACTTGAATTACAAAATTTGAAGTTTAATTAACAAATTATTTTTGCCAAATAACTTGATTTGATGAAAGAAGACACAAGAATAAATATTAATTTTATAATAATAAGATAATTATTAACTTATTATATTAAAGATTAAAATTTATTAATTTATTTGAAGTATGAAAAAGAGTATATTAAGATTGTACTTGTATTTATACAAAATTTCTCAATATATTTTAATATTATCTTTGTTATAAATTATAGAAAAAGATATAAAAAAAGATAAAAAAGATAGAAATCACTAAATTAAAAATAAATAATAATAATTATATAATTATTAAATAATTAATATATGTAAACTATTTTTATTAATTTGTAGTTTTGTTACTATTTTTAGAGATTTTTGTATTTTCTACTATTTTTGAAAAATTCATTAATTAAGAAATTTTTTAAAATAAATATAATACTATTTTAAACTCTTTTTAAAAAATATAACTTTATAATAATAATTTTACAAAAATAATTTTGTAATTCTTAAGATAATTTATTTTATTTTAAAATTTATTATAGTTTTATATCACATAAATGCTTTTGAATTCTAAAATTTCAAATACTCAATGCATTTTTATTAGATATAGAATTACTATAATAAGTGTAGTAAATATACTCATTGCCATTTATTTGAATATTATAAACTGTCTATTAAAAGAATGTGAGAAAAATTAATAAAATACATATCTTGTAAAAGGCGATTTTGAAATAATTATAAAGAATTATATTTATGACAAAAGGTGAGATCTGATAAAAATATAAATGCAAAATCACGTTGCATTATTATTATATAATCACATTAAAGAGATAAAAAAATATAATTATTTAATCAGAAAACATCAAAAAAATTAGATAAAACAATTATAATTCATCAATATCTTCATCATTTCCCAACTCGAAAACATTATTTGAAGTCAACAATTATAATATGCTATTTAATTATAATAAAAAATGAAAAATTTAAATTATTTATTTGATATTATTATGAATATGTACTGTGACTATGTCACCAAATTGCTAAGTAGACTGAAAAAGTACCTTAAACATACAGTACTGGACAGTATAAGATATCCAATTTTAATTGTCTTACAAAAATGGTATAACTTTTGAATAAATCGTTAAATAAAAAATCTCTCTTCCAAATTAATAGTTATTTAATAAACCTACATTTCTGGAGAAGGAATTTTTTTATTTTTATTAAATATTATCTACTTTATATGTGAGTAAAAATTTGGTGCATGCTTATACAAAGTCTTATAATTTTTGAACCAAGAATTAAAATAAAAAAATTCTTTTACAGATTGATAGCTCTTTATTAAAGCTACAACTTGATAAAAAACTTTTTTTATTTGTTTTAGTTTTGAAGAAATTATAAAATTTTAGTTTCATAAATTAATACTGAAATACATGTATTTGATTGACTAGCATTAAGTCATGTAATAGAGCATTACTATATAATGACTATCAAAATTTGGCACTTCTATAAAAGTAAATATCTTATACTGTCCCATACTATGAGTGTTCTAATTTTCACTGATAAGTGAAATGTTATATATTTGGAATTTTTATAAAATTTACCGATTGTCATTTCTATTTAATATATTTTTTCTGAATGATAAAGATATCTGAAAAGATGTTATCCTTGTGTGAAGTTTCGTGTGATTTTTACATACAATATTTGTATTACGCTATCTTGAGATTAGGGTTAGGGTTAGAGCTGAGATCAAGATTATACAAAATTGCATTCCTGACATTTTTTATTAGCGTTAGTGTACCAGGCGCCAGATCACGCATTTTTATTGGTTTGTACCATCTGTAGATCAAAAATTTACATATCGAACTTGAGAACCAAATCCCTAATTTGGATTCTGATTTTTTCATTACATCCGATTAGAGTCATGGTAAGGGCAAGGTATTGGTAAGGAAACAAAATTATATGTAAAATTTCCTTTCCGAAATTTTTTTAATTAACAGTCCAAGACAGGTTTATGCATCAGTTTTCTCGTAATATCACTTGTTTCATCGCTTTGAATCAGATTTGTTTTTACCGGGTCGATCAAAATTTGTGCATTCTTATCATTATTGGTTATTGGCATCAGGAATTTTTAGTGTAACGAGGTGAACTAATTAGAAATTCAATATCGTGTTATATAGTTTTTAAACGGTAAGTAATATTTCAGCGATGCGTTTTTTTTGACTATTTGTTCGTTCCAAATTTTATAACAAAACACAACTTGAATAATATATAAAAGCTATTTTATTTTAATAAACATATAACTATCAAACAAAGATCACGAATTTCTGCCCTTCTTCAAGAAAGATTCTCTTCCCGTTATATCGCATCGAAAGAAAATATTGCGCAATCTTCTGTTATCTGACTTAAAAACTACTGGTTCTGTAAAGATTTACCGAAATCTGGCTGCCCACGATTTTTTACAAGCCGTGATGAACGTAATATTGCACGATATGTTTCGAGTGGCGAATGTTCTAATGCTGTATCGATTCTAAACTAATAATAAAATCAATGTAAACGATAGTACTATAAGAACTTTACGTAGAAGGATGGACGGTGGATGATAGGAACAGGGTAATTTGATCAGACGAGTCTAAGTTTATGATATATGGGTCAGACGGTCGTGAATATTGTTGGAAATGCAAAAATGAACCACTAGATGAACGTCATGTAAAACCTATGGTCAAATTTGGTGGCGGAAGTATTATCATCTGTGATTGCTTTTCTTCCTTCGGCGTTGGTAACATCGTACGCATTTTTGGCACCATAGATAAGGAATTATACTGCAAAATTTTAAATGATAACTTGTTAGGAACCATCGAGCATTACGAGTTGGATAGGAATAATATCGTTTTCCAACAGGATAATGATCCGAAGCACACGGCTAATTTAACGGAGCAATGGTTTTACGATAATGATATTGATGTATTAGAATGGCCACCACAATCTCTCGACCTCAACCCTATAGAACATCTCTGAAATGAGATGGATATACGTTTGAGAAGGTTAGAAAATCCAGTTCGTACTCAAGATGAGTTATGGGAAGCTATTCAAAAAATATGGATAGAAACAGATCATAACTTTTAACTAGTCTAATTGAAAGTATGCCGAACGAATAAATGATGTAATTGAGGCTAAAGGAGGGTATACAGAGTGGGAAAGAATAGTTTATTTAAATTTCATAAATTTTTAGTCGTTAGTTATTTAAATATCGGTTTTAAATTATTTGCATCGTAAACAGTCGAAAAAACGCATCATGTAAAATTGCATCGGTATTATTATTTTAATTTAGTGATTAACTAAATAAAGAATTATATTTACATGTTTTGCAACATTTGGAAAACAATATGCGTCGGAAAAACTCGAGTTTGGTTTTTTTTCGGCACAAAAAAATTTGATCGGTGATCTAAACACAAAGATGATTGGTTAATAAAGGTTTTCCACGTGGATTTATTGTTCTCCGATTGGTTAACACAATTTGTAAATCTTAATCTAAAATATAGGTATGGAAATGCAACTTTTTGAAAAAAATTAACCCATATTTTTGCTTTTGGGCAAAAACAAGGGAAAAATTGTAGTTTTGTAATTTTTTAGTATTATTTAGTCTGGTTTTTACCCAAGGTGAAACCTACTCTTTTCAACCAGTGAGTGTAAAGGATATACATGTAATTTAACTATTGATAGAAATATCAATGGTGCCTGTGTGATTTTCTATGGGCTTTGCTGGATGGAATAACTATTTCAATTGGTTGACTATAGATGACTGATTAAAACCATCCGTTTTATTTTACATATCGATTTGTTTTTGATAACGACAATAATTTTTCTTTGATATCATTTTCTTTATTTCATCAATACAAAATTAATTATTTATCTATCATTATATTAATGTAAAAAGTTGTTGACAATTTCATATTTGTCATCTATAATACTAATTTGCTCAAAGAAATGTATGTCAAGAATTTATCAAAAATTCTTTATATATATTTCACAGAGATGATTTTCTCACAAAGCATTTCCCTTATAAATCAGAATAAATTCCAAAATATGATTATTAGAAATATAAACATCCATTCTTTACTTGGGCTTTTAAAACAAGAATCGCTAGACGACTGGTTAGTCGAAGCACCACCGGTGGTAGGGTTCGAGCTTGTAGCGGAAGCTATTCGCCATGACCTAGTTTCATAACTTGTATTATTTGGAAAACTACCAGGACTTATTGCCCAAGTATCTTTAGGTATTGTTGTTTTAGTTGTAATAGTTGTCTTTGTTGGTAGCGTGACAGTTTTTTCTACTGTGATTGTTGTGTCTGGACCTGATGCTGTTTGTAGTATTGTTGTTGGCGGCAATGATACTTGTACTGTGACGCTTTGGACTGATGTTACTACCGCTATTATAGGACTAAAAATTTATTTAAAATAAATTGGTCTTTTAATTATTTTTGATATCAATTACGAAGCTAATTATTATTTTGTTACACTGGTGGGGGTGGTGGTGGTGGAGGTCCGGGCGGTGCAGGAGGTGGCAATGGAGGTCCGGGCGGTGCAGGAGGTTGTGGTGGAGGTCCGGGCGGTTCAGGTGGAGGTGTAGAAGGCCGTTGATCATTGTTATTTGGTGTAGGAAACAACCAAAAAGGTATATCATTGTAATTTGGTATGTACTCTTCAAAATAATTTTGGTTTTGACTATGAGATTAAAAAAAATATCTATTAAATTAAACTAACAAGCCGAAAAAAATAAAAAAATAAAAAACAAATGACAAGTCGAAAAAAATAAATAAATTACTTACGATATTGTTAGTCGGTCTAATAAAACAATCGTGACAAATATATACCAGGTTATTATTTTAAAGTGCATCATTTGTCTGTAGCAAGATGACTGTGTTTAGCAATTTATTATAAAAACAAATCAACAAGTTAAGTTTCAAAGTAAGTGTCAAAGACAATTAAGCCTACATCCAATTTTACGTACGTTCTTTGTGCTCTATGTGTGTGTTCGTTTGAATTAAACACAACGATTTTTGCATATAGATGTAGATCACAAGAATATTATAACGTCTCGTATACGTAGACAATTAAAAATTATTACCATTATACATGTAATTAATTAGAACTAAGGAAATACGTATAACGATAATGTATGACGGCGTAAATCTTATCAATATTTATTTTTTTCATCTTTAAATCTTTCCTTTACATACTTCTATGAATAACGATCAACTGTTTCAAACTATTAATAGTCAGAAATATACGTAAAAATAATGATTCATATATAATATACATTGTCATGTACATTATCATTATTTGTTTGCCAAGAAATATATAATCAGGTGTGATGATATGGAGGATTTACTAAGACGTGACTATATAGGAGGTGACTATATAGGAAGTGACTATATGGAGTATAAATAGAGTTCTAAACAATTTTCTGATATTACATGCATTATGAGTGTTTTACCCTCTTCTCCTTCTCGAGATTTCATTCGTTATCGTTATTATGTACGTACATACCGATACATGCAAACAATCTGATACCATCTCATACTTGGTTAATTCTTTATTGTTATCGTTATAGTTCTCTATAAAATGTCATTTATAGCAATAACGAACCGCTGCCAAAAGAAAATCCTTTTTTATCGTTATCGTTACACAATGCATATGACTTGATTTCTTAACGTTGACGTTAAAAACTATCGTTATCGTTATTGTTTGATTTATTTGTGAAAATAAAATGAAACGCACTCGTCTTGTTCGTTTGGATAATTGAGAAATGTATATTCTACTTTCCTTTCAAAATTTTAAAATAAGACTGTTTTTACTCGATAATCATTAATAGAAAGCAAAGATATTCGTCTCGCAAACACGTGTGATCAAAAAACCTTTGACTTTAAAACCCGAACTTAATGACTCAATATCGTCAAAAATTATGAAAATGACGTAACATGAATTGCTTGTATTGGCCATATCGATATGCAACAAAGAACAAAATTGAGAGAATTAATGAATAATTTGAGTAATTCTCAACAGCATTATGGCGATAAATTCTAAGGCATCAATTTAACCCTTACACAGTACTTTTTCTTTCAAGTACATGTATTATGGTGTATAACATCTAAAGTCATCAAAAGTTTGTATTTTATAAAATGGATAAAATCCTTTAATAAGAAGTCAAAATTTAATCCGTGAATATGATAGAATAGATCCTTTCTGAGAATATTCACGGATTAAATTTTATGTTTACTTCTTAGCAAAGAAGTTTATCCATTTTATAAAATACAAATGTTTGATGATTTTAGATGTTACGCATCATAGATCATTTATCTCGGTTTAGAAGATTTTTATCCAAAAATATTTGCACTTTATGCGGTAATGGCCTTATCTATTTACATAAAGATACGATATACGAACTTCAATATAGCAAAGCATTAATAAATTGTCGTTGGTTCCAGATAAATATACCTCGATAAACTGAATTTTTCAAACTTCTTACTAATAGCCCGACCACTTCGCTTTATCGATGTCTGATAATGTAAAGTAATATTTAAAATTGTGGTATTTAAAGTATTTGATTAGATACTCATTAATGGATTATTATTAATACGAAATATTTTATTTTACTAGATATTTATAATTAACTAGTGACTACTGAGATTTATCAATAATTATTTTAATAATAGGGTTTTACCGATCAGAATTAATAACATTTTTCTGCGAATTTCCACTAATTGTTTTTATATGCATGTGCCTTATTTATTTTATTATCATTTCAAAGTTAGAAATAAACATATAAAGTCATACCTTTATACAGTCACACACATCCTTTACAATTACACCTTTTTCTGGTCTCAGCCATTATGAAGCATAATCACAACCTATTTAAAGTCACCATCTTTTGTCCCGAGGGTGCAATTATATGAAGAAGTTGATAGAAACCGTTTTTGATCGTTCATCAGCAAATTTGAAGGTCCATGATAACACCTGAATCTACATAAACACCATATTTTTACATGCAACTCTAGGTAGTATCATATATAAATTCAAATTACATAACATTTCACAGAATCTCACAATAAATTGATATGTAATTTACTGAATGTTCCTAGTATGCAATAAATTCACATGGTAAATTACATAATACATGTAATATGTAAAAATTCATGTGATCATTCAAGCCAAAAATCTTCCTGATATTGTGCTTTAACTCAAAACACAATTAATCTCGATTCCATGATTCCCGTTCAGGATCATGAGATAGACTCTTAAAAGTACCCTAGCCACGGCAAAAAAAAGTAGCAGATCACGCGATTCAGATACCGATGCCGACCATCCGATATCCCTCCTTAAAATCATGCACCAATCAATGCTTTTGAAACAATCATTTGTTCCTTGTGAAATTTTGTGTTCACGTTTGCTATACAATATCCTTAACCCAAAACCTAACCCTAACCGAAACTCTATTTTATATTATGCATTGTAATTAAGGGATGGTCGGCATCGGTATCTGAATCGCGTGATTTGCTATTTTTTTTTCGCCGTAGCTAGGATACTAGACTCTTAATACACCCAATTCAAAATAAACTTCGAATTAATATGAAAACTTAATATTTCGAAATAGAAAACACCTATATTATTTGCAAGCAATTTTGTAGTAAAGATTCGACTGTTGTAAATGGCACTTGGATAAATTTTTTGTTTGTTTATGTATTTTTTTGCAATGTCATCTCCTCATCAAGTTCTTTCTTTCTGCCTTTCTAAGTTAAGACATTATTTATTTCTTGTATTTTAGAATATTCTAACAAGCTGTAGTACTGTGCAAAGTATTCGGTTTCTACTTCTCATCGAAATCTTTGAGAACTGGTAAAATCAAAAGTTCCTATGTAGTTGGTCTTTTTTCTGGAATAGAATCCCAATATTTTTTAATAATAAATTTGCACCATCCGGGGATATTATTTGGTGTCTTAGGTTATGCTACACAAATCACAGTGTACGTAAATTGTATGCAAGTTTGCGATAATTTCCCTTATTTTTCTTTCCAATCCATTTTTCATATCGTTAACGATGAATCATTACGTACTATCAAGTATTCATTTTTTTGGTTATGCCAGAATAATTGAACAGTCAGAATCTACTATGGTAAAATGAATGATTTCTAAGATGCTTTCTTGTTTTCTAATACTCGTTTATAAACTCCGATGTACAGTCAGCACGGAAAGTAATGGCAGCACCAGAAAGCGATCGGCCTTGTGGAACATGTGTAACATTTTTCACATGCTGCACATCGTTTTGTAACCGAAATGTAAACAAAAAACGATTTCTCTTACCTTTAAAAATGTCTGACAACCCCCCGTAAAATTCAATCGCGAGACCGTAAAGAGATTTTGGCAAAATGGCTGGCGTAATGCTAGAGAAATTTCGCAAAAACTGGTATTCCACTTCGCTCTTGTGAACGTTATGTGGCTTCGCTTCGTAAAAATGAACAAATTCCGGTTCGTCGTCCTGGTCGTCCATATAAAATTGCGCCTGCTATGCGCCGCCACATTGGTCAAATCGTAAATTCAAATCATTTCCTTACGGCGGCTGAAATCAAAGCGCGGCTCGAAGAAACACACCCAGGGTTCGAAGTAGGTGTGCAAACTGTCCGTGACAAGCTTTCTAGACTCGGTTTGTTGCTTCCTTGCCAAGACGCGTTCCCTCAAGCCAAAGAAGATCGATTTCAATGGGCAGGCAATCATCTCGATTATAACTGGCACAAGGTTGTATTTTCCGATGAAACAACCTTAATTATCCCGAAACTGTTGCCTGCGTGGTCGCGTGAAAAAACTGTTGCACCAATGGTAAAACACCCGTTCAAACTCCATATGCGGGGAGCGATTTGGCAAAGTTGGATGTGCACATTTACACAAAACATGGATCGGCATCTATACCGTGAAATTCTTAATAACCACTTGTATGGCAACGCAACATGTACGGTCGTTGGCGCTGGATTTTCCAGCAGGACAACAATCAAAAACACCGTTCAAATGACGTAAAGAATGGTCTCGAAGCTCGGTTGCCGGGACGCGTTCTTCCGTGGCTGTCATACAGCCCCGATCTTAACCCGACCGAGAACATCTGGTCATTTCATAAACGGAATGTTGAAAAAAAATTGTCGCTTAAAAAAAATCGGTGTCATAGGAGGCTTTTATTGTGTTAGTGGAGAATGAGTGGATAACGATAAATATTCCCGATGAGCTGATCTTTAGCTATATCAGCAGTATGCCGGACCGCGTTCAAGCCTGTATTGACAAGGAAGGAGGAAATACTTGATATTCATATTTTCTGTGGGCATGTTGCCCTACTTAATCACATTTCGGAAATAAATTTTTTTTTGTTTTATTATTTATAATTTTTTATTTTGAAAAAATTCGTCCGTCATTACTTTCCGTGCTGACTAATTCGTCCGTCATTACTTTCCGTGCTGACTGTAACTTTTTTTGAATTACATAATGATTTCAACACAAGTCCTTCATCTTTTCAATTGTAATAATACAACGATGCTTTATAAATTGTTCCAAAACCCCTTTTGCAAGATTTCAACCTCGGTAAATCTTTCAAAAGGGACAATACCAGCATTTACCACAATCATGAGTATAGTGATCTGAACACTCTAAACGACAATTCTAATTTACAATCAACAATGAGTACCAGATTCCATCTTTGAGTTCACGTTTTTGAAAGTTTGCGTTATCGTCGTGCTAAATAAAGAGCCATACATCTATAGACAATGTTGTCATGTCCAATGGTCCAATGATATCAATTTAGACGTTAGACATTGGACATTGGATTTGATGTGCAATCCAATCCATTGACAACACTGCACTGTAGCGATAGAATTTTCATTGTTAATATTATGCATACAAGTACTAACACATACAGTACGTATGTGGATTCATAGTCTCCCTATAAGAAATTTTGCACGTAATGTCTGTAAAAATGTATGAAAATATACAAAAAAAGTCTGATATGTCTGTAAAAGGTCGCTTTTTTACAGACATATAAACACGTAAATCGCGTATGTAAAAGATTGTAAAAGGCTGTTTGTCATACTCAATTATATGTCTGTAAAAAGTGACCTTTACGTGTCTTTTACAGACATATCAGACTTTTTGTATATTCCCGTATTTTTTTACATGCGTATCTTTCATATAAGGTCTTGACTTGATCATGCATGCAAGTTCAAGAAAATTATACTCGACTCGTAGAACAAAGATACTCGTTAAACCGGAACTGCGTTAAGCCATATTTGTCTATTGTGAAGGAATTTACGATTATAAATTTTTGTATTAATTAATATTTTTCAATTAGCTGGATTTATTTAAAACAAATCATAATAATAATTGTTAAGCACGTTCTTTAATCTTACTACACACCCCTACAATGTATTACCAGAAATTTCAAAAATGAATTTGTCACTTTGGAACCGATATCTCGACAGCCGGTCCGGTGATCCCATTCGAACATTAGATTTGTATAATCAAGACGAATCTAATGTGATATCTTTGTTCGAGATATCGGTTCCAAAGTGACAAATTCATTTTTGAAATTTCTGGTAATATATTGTAGGGTGTGTGCAAGAACTGTTTTTAAAAATATTCATTCAATCAAAAGTTTTAGCAATTTGATAAGGGGTGTAGGTTTATGCTGTAGCAACCATATAAAATAGTTTTGTATATCGATATCTTAACTGACTTTTTACCGAAGTTACCGTATAGCGCTACCTACAGTACCTCCCTGAGATAGTATCCCCCCATTTTGCTGATAAGCAATTTGCGGCCTAATTTTTATAAGCAGTGTTTGGTTTTTCCATGGATCTATTGTGTTTAATAGCAAGATAACCCTCCAATTAGTAACAAATTTTCATATATTGCTCTCGTCATTCTGTATCTGGGGGGTACTATTCGAGTTCAAGGGGGGTTTTTTAAATAAGACCGGGGGTACTGTAGGCAGCGCTATACGGTAGTAATCAAAGCTACATTCGGGGGGCTAGTTAAATGTTCTAACGTAATACAACATAAAAATAGGAAATTGTTTAAGTTAACTGTCAACGCCCAATAAGTAACAAATTTTTGGTCAATAAAGTTGTAAGCTAGAAAGCTCAAATTTTATTTTGAAACAGAAAAATTTGTGTCATATACGTACGTATGATGAATGTTACTTGTCGAACATTTCACAAATACAATATGATCTAACGCTAAATATAGTCACACCCGTTTTTGGGTTGTACGTACCTTTTTCACCATTTAACGTTAAGCTAACTGTACTGTTCTCGTTATACATGTACATAATAATAACGATAACGATAACTATAAACATCGATATCGATATTGTTTATACATAACCATAAAGGGTTGTGATTGTAACAAAATTATTTTATGAAATCTATCAGTATTAATTTTCCTCTTTGTTATACGTATTATTTTTAGTAATCTTCGCTCAACTTTCTTATTTCTTTAAAACTCCGCCCGATCTCTATATATAAGCTTGGAAGAATGAACATTAATTCCGAAATTAAAAAAAAATAAGTTAAACAAATCAAAAAAATTAACCTTAATTATTTTGGCACGATTGTCTTGATACAATAATAAAGCGAGATTCATATCCTTCGTTAATTACTAAAATTTAAAAGACAATAATAAAGATAATAATATCAATGAATCAAACTCAAAGTTCTTGTTCACATGAATTAAGGCTTGGTAGTTTTCGACAGCAGTTAATCACTATGTTGAAGCAACATTATACTTTGCAGGTACTATCGAAATATTTATATTAATGTATAGTAAATTCCTAACATAATTTTAAATTTAATTGAATTTTAACATAAATTAGCAACGTTATTATATTCAAACATTGGCAATTGTAGTCATTGCGCCTATTGTAGTTTTGTTGATAATATTAGGATTAGAGACCTCGACGAGAAATTTAATAAGACAGGATATCAATAAATATCGAGATTTTCTAAATAATACTAAGTTATCCAATGCAGAGCTTGTAGTAGAAGATATAAACGAAAAGCTTGCAATTTGGGATTTACCAGGATTATACCAATGCGAGGTATTTATCTTCTTCAATTTAACATTATTTGCGGGTATGATATAATTTTTTATAAAGCGCTATTCAATCTTTTAGCCTCCAGCCCGCGAAAAAATTAAATGTATTACCTTGCTGTATGCGCCTATTGATCAACGAGCAACCAAAATTATGCAAAATTTCGTAAATAAAAACCAAAAACGCACAGGGAACAAATTGGATCTTAGTGACAGGCTATTGATGGATTTAAGTAAATAAAGATGATTTTTAATTTGTTTATATAATTATTTATTAATATTTTTTAACGTTAAAGATCCTCCAACGCATAACCTTGGAATTGTCCCAGTATCCTCAAGTGATTTTATTTATAGCTATTCATTACTAAATCCAAAAGTAGTAGATTTCGCAGTCTCTTTTGAATTTCCAGATGATGGTAGAGTGGAATACACACTTTGGTATAACTTTACAACTGTCCAAAATAAAACAGTCTACGGCGAAGAAACTCAAATAAATGCGAATTTAGGAATATTTGACGCGCTGAAAAATGACGCTTATTCTAATAAAGCCCTGGATACTACAATTGACAGCTACGGGAATAATCTTCTGTCAGTAAAACGAGGAATCGAAGAAGCAATTTTAGTATCCAATGGTTTGCCAAATGCACAAATTGATATCAAGCTAAAAGAATTTCCAGATATGCAATTAAAAATTAATAATAATATTGATGATAGCAATAATAGCGATAGCGAAAATGATGAATATATCAACGCAGATATTTTTCAATCGGTTGGAATGTTTTTGGTGGTTCCAATTTTATTGATTTTTGTAGTGGCTGGTGTTATGGATACAATACGTGAAAAGGAATGTGGACAAAGAAATTGGATGGAGATGATGTAAGTAAATGAATTTGTTTTCTTATACGTAGTAATAATCGTATAATATTTTGATGTATTAATAATAAACAGGGGTTTGAGGCCAAGTGTATATTGGTTATCGCACTTTATTAGTGCTGGGTATCTCGTTTTTTTCCAATCTTTGATATTAATCAGTCTTGGTTATGCCATGAATTTTGCATTCTTTCAGAATACCGATTTTTTTGTAAGTTGAAATACACATCTTTTTACAATTAATGTTTTTGAGACCAATCTCTAATCACATAATTTTAATGTTTGTAGATTCTATTGATATTATTCTTGTTTTTCGGCTGGTCAATGCTTGCCTTAGGATATTTTATTACGACAATAACTTTTCGCTTTCGAACAGCTGATATCCTTTTCTATCTGTTTTTTCTTAATTGGCTATACTAATAAAAAATATCCTTAATTCTGCAATTTAATCCTCATTGTTAATACTTGGCATAGCCTTCGTATTTTCTTTACTAGCATTCATTTACTTATCTGTTGTCGTCGGAATTTGGAGCGTTTGGTATCTTTCTCAGAAAAAAATTGTAAAAGGTGATTACTCAAGACCACAAGGCGTATCCACCGGATGGATAGTCGGACTTTTCTTGCCATTTTTCCAATTTGCAGGTAAATATAACTATGAATGTTAGATTATAATAAATATAAAAATTTTAACCAATATATTTCACAAATACTCAATTAGAACTCTATTCGCAAATTGTCTTGAAATCAACAAATACTCCATTCTATCCTAATAAAAATCCTGGTTTCCATTGGAAAGAACTAAACAACCAACACATTTATAACTCAAGACTTAGTGAATTCTTGCCACAACCATACCGCCCTTTGGTAATTATGTCTGCTCAAATTATTGCGTACGCTATGGTAGTTTGGATTATTGATCAAGGTCCAAAATTCTATGCTAGGAATTTTGGCCGAAGATATCAAATAACGTCAAATGATACTCAATATGTGAGTATATTTTTTATTCTTTTTTTTGAAGAGTTTTTTAATTAATTTCGAACACATTTTTATTCTATTGGTCACAGCATCAAACAAATATGGATGAAGATTTGGCACACGAAAGATTTCGTGCTCTTAGTTCCAACCAACCATGTATGTGATTTCTGAAATTATATAGAATATCGATATGAATTACAGTTGACAAAATTAGTTATATTATTACAGTTGCACTTCGAATTGTTAGGCTTGTTAAGGAATATAGAGGAAAATTATTCTCAAAATCCAGAGAAAGAAAACTTGCAGTTAATGGTTTATATTTGACAGTTGAAGAAGGGCAATTGTAAGTTTTATATTTGATACTCGATGTTCGATAACTCACTGACACTAATTATTACGTAAAATAAAAGGTTTGCTTTATTGGGTCAAAATGGAGCTGGTAAAACAACGGCAATATCTATTATTGCTGGTCATTTACAACCAACATCAGGTTATGTGACAATCTACAATAAGGATATCATCACCAACGTGAATTCGATTCGAAGTTCAATGGGCATCTGTCCACAACATGATTTGCTATTTTCGGATTTAACCTGCGAAGAGCATATAAATCTTTTCGCCGGAATAAAAGGAATCGAATTGGACATAGGAGAGTTATTAGCAAAAGTTGGTTTGGTGAAAGTTAGAAATTTTCCCTCGAGTAAATTGAGTGGCGGGATGAAGCGGCGACTGAGTGTTATTATTGCGTCAATTGGAGATCCAAAGAGTAAGATTTGTCTTGATTTTGAATATTTAGTACAGTCGTTCCTCCATATAATCAATATAATCACGTCCTTAAGATAGAAAAAAGTGTATGGAGGTCAAATTTTCTATACTTCATAATACATGTAGCTGAGACTGAAAACAGGTATAACAATAGAAATTATTAATTAATTGATTTTTCTACAGTATTAATTTTAGATGAACCGACGACTGGTATGGATCCATTGAATAGACGAAAAGTCTGGTCCTTTTTATCTGAATACAAAAGGAATCGAATAATGTAATTTTTGTTATTTTCCGATTTTTGTGCATGTTCTTTTTATAGCTCATTAAATAAGATATTGTAACGGTAACGATAAATAAATACCGCAGTCTTCTCACAACGCATTCGATGGAAGAAGCAGATTTGCTTGGCGATCGTATTGGAATTATGGCACATGGAAAATTACGGTAATATATGTAAAATTGCACATAAAAAATCTGTGCCAGGTTTTTGTCGATCATAGACCAGCAGACAATAAGAATGCGAAAAATACGAGAAACAGGTGCCTAAATCTACTGGTTAAAAACATCGGGGAGGCATGTTATATATAACTTGCATCTCAGCCCTACTCCTAATCCTAGAACCAACCTTCTAATGTTACAGTAGAATCTTCCGAGGTCAACAAAACTGGCACAGATTTCTTACGTGCTGTAAATTTCATTCGAGTTTTTTTCTAACTTTTAAATTTCACCCTACATTAGAGCAATAGGAAGCTCAACACATCTTAAGAATAAGGTAAAACGAAGATTGTGATGGATATTCTTTATAGTCGCACACTCTAATTTATGTATTGACGTTAATGCTAAATCTAGTATGGGATTGGATATCGCATTCAAATCCAAACCGACTCGGAAAATATAGAATTCGTACAAGAATGGGTTTCTCAA